GGACAAAAACTATTGAAATTCAGGTAGAGGCCATTCCAATTACTTTTTCTATAAATTGAACGTTGAACCGTCCCGTCTCCTCTGCGTTTTATGGCAACATCAAGAAAGTGGAATATATCGTTCTGTTCGTGCCATCAGGCGACAAAAACCTGACCTATGTATTCAAAAGGAGACGGTGGTTAATCTTTCCTTACCCTGGTGACAAATATTCCTTCACTGAACCTTAAATTTTTTTTCTTTTTTTCCTCTTTTTTCTGTTGCATTTATTACATCATTGGTTCTAATTTATTTTTTCAACTATCTTTCAAATTAATAATCTTTCAACTGAACTCTAATCACTATATTCCTATCAATGTTTATTCATTATGTAATCAATTGTTTCTAACCGATTTTTGAACTGTTGTCACAATTAATGTTGTAGAATATTCTTTCACATTAGGTATATATTTACAATATTCTGTAAGCAATTAAAATTCATTATGCAATTATGATTTTTAAATATCACAGGTTGTAAGCAGCTGACGAGAACCTACGAAATAAAATGAATTCATGCTATTCTGCTAGAATCTTTGTTCTTGCTCTTTTCATAATTCATTAACAAAGTTATTTAAACATTTTTTTTGTCCTAGTGCAAATCGAGTCAAATTGAATTAAATTTTCACAGATTGAACTCATGAGTCAGTTGAAGCTAGACCACCATTGAAAACCTGGAAGCACTGGACGGCCGTTTCGTCCTAGTATGGGACTCCTCAGCAGTGCGCATCCACGACCCCGCACCACCTGCTCACTAGTGACTGACTTCGGGAGACACTTCTGGAGTTCTAGTGAGAAGTCGTTACCAGTAGAGTTCAACCAGGTCTGTTGTGAGATAGGAACTCACTGAAGACAATGGTGTACGGTAGCGCAACTTCGTGGATTGGTTGAAGTTAGACATTAACACCGTTGGATGCCGGTTCAGTGGTCTAATGGTTAAGTGCTCGCGCGCGAAGCCAGTAGGTCCTGGGTTCGAGCCCCGGGTGGTGCGGGGTCGTGGATGCGCACTGCTGAGGAGTCCCATACTAGGACGAAACGGCCGTCCAGTGCTTCCAGGTTTTCAATGGTGGTCTAGCTTCAACTGACTCATGAGTTCAATCTGTGAAAATTTCTAAAAATCTCCACAAAACACATTCTGATAATAAATTAAATTTATCAATAATTAACTGTTACCTTAAACCTTGGACTGTTGCTTAGAAATTTATTGTAACCCATTTTGCTGTCTAACTCTAAATACCATACCCACATTTACATACAACTTAATCAGTCACTCATGATCATTAGAAATATATAGTTTAATTTCCATGTGTGTTAACTAATTAACTGAATTCTTGATTTGTAACTGTTACGTGGAAACAAACCCTTATTAAATAGAGATAAACTAACATGAATATCACATGCATTTCATTTTAACATAGTAATTTTGATAAGTAGGCACTCACATGCCTACCGAGTATTAAATCCAGTATTTCAACGACCTCGGATCATGTATATTACTTTGATAGATTGGGTAAATGCAAACCCATCACTCTTCCATGCTCACTTGCCTTCTCAGGGTCAAATAATAGGTGAGAATTTGCAAACGGGACACGCTATCGGAGGAAGTCGTTTGTACCAAAACTCATGATCTCAGCCTACATGTTGTTATCTGAGTCAAAAAACACAATCGTATATATACCTACAATTCGATTACTACTATGTTCACATCTGATGGTTCACATTTCCAATTCCATTTGTTGTTTTTCTTTAAAATAGCAAACACTCAACATTCCCAAAAGACAATATCCTATAATTGGTTGTCTACAAAACCAAGTGAACAAACAAACGAATAAGAAAACCTTAAAACACATTCATTTTAATAATTTCTTGCTAACCTTTATAATACCTACTTGAAAGGTGAAGATTTATATAATAATCACATGGATTTCGCAAAGATCATGAAATACATTTTGTCATGTGATAAATTTTCTGTCAATATTGTACCCGTTATTCATGTTACGACACACATCTGAACACGCATGCCCAAATATGTACATTTGCTTTGGACATATGAATTTATGCACTATGTGTATTCACTGTTTATGTAATTGATATCCTTGATAAATATTGAATGATCACTTATTTCAAACAAACATCTTTTTTATTCAATTTTGTACTGCTAGAACTATTCACACTACCACTGCTACTACTATAATGAACGAAGACATGGTGCAGATAGCCAACTTATTTTTGAATGCAAAATTACAGTGTCTTTGCAAAATATGAAAACAGTATATTAAATACTTCAATTGTACATCTTCAATCAGTTGTCTCTTATAAAATCCATCGCATCTCTATTCCTGTTTTTGTTACAATAACTCCTTTCTGTTCTGTCCAACTAGATCTTCTCAATCTTCTGCCGTCAGACATTTCACTTTTGATTGATGATACACACTATTTATGTCTGTCTACATCAGTAGCACACACCACAATATTACTGCTAATGTTACTACTAGCAACACTACGAATACTGATACATCAACCAAAGAAACAACTACTACCACTACTATTACTGCTAGTATTGGTGTTCTCTCTAGTACTAACACAACTGCAATAATTAAAACTAACAATGTTAATACTGTTACAACAACCAACAATACCATAACGACTATTAATGATAATACTACTGATATTACCAGTAATATTCGTTCAAATAACCGGAATAATCTTTACAGTTAAATGGAATCAGCGAACAAGGAAAACAACAAATGTGTCAGTGTAGGATATAGCATCTCATTTTGATTGGAGTCTGCATAAGTCTAATTTTGTTAAGCACATCAGTTAAGTTATTTGACAGACAGTGTCATTCGAACAGTGATAATGACTTATGAAGTAAAAGTGAACTGAACTAAAATCACATTGAAATGAGCTATTGGACTTGTCGTCTGTGTATCGTGAAAATAATTTTTACCTACCAACAGTATTCCCCATCTCCTTTGAGTAAAGTAATGCTGGTGTCATTCCTAGTTATAACAGCTCCAACTCATCAATTTCAAACCCTTTTCTGTGACCTTACATTTATAAAAACTGAACTGACTAGAAATCCTAATATATTGTTAAAAAACAAGAATATTGTAATGGAGACTTTCCTATAACTTCGTCATCACAGTCTACAGTTACAAGTTCATATCTTTGTATCCCAAGTGCCAAAGCAGAGCATCCTAATGAACCATAAAATGTTACGTCGAAAATGATGACCTTTTGCCTCTGTCATTCGACAAACGCTTCGAAAATGTGTCATTTGTAATCTGGAAAGATTATTCACAAAAGATTGAAGTGATTTGGAGTAAGGTGTCAAATTGTAATCAATCTAATAGTAAAATGAATGATACGAACGAAATGTATAATAGAATTTAAGTTGGTTAATGAAGTTAATAATAGTAATAATACCACTACCAATGATGTTAATATTAATATTAATAATAATGAAGAAAACGTCATGTGAACATAACATGCAATAAGAGAGGTGTTGTCGGGGCAATTGTTATAAGTAATTCTATTGAATTATGAATGGACGTTCCATTACCTATCCATGATCGCATCGTAATTGTGGTGATTGCGTCGTTCGATTGGTAAGCGGGAAAGTAGAATGAGAGGGTGTTGACTTATAATTTAATAGCTTTTAGCCGTGTGATGCTGATGTTATCTTCAACGCCGCTTATATCAGTTTTACAATATTTGAGTAAACGATAAATGATTTTTTAGGGTCATTCTCATGCAGCTTCGAAGTGGTCGACGTAATGGGTCATGAAGTAAGAAAACATGTATACTGAATCGTGAGGTGGACTGGAAAAATCATCAGTGGATTTTGGCTGGATGGGAGCAACTTTAACTAAATCCTTTGTGTTTGTAAGCCGGCTTATATAGCAGTCTAGATCCACATTCATTGAAAAAGATGAAGGGTCTAAGAATTCTTCAGAAAGTAGGAATATTGTGCTGTAAATGTGATCGGCTGCAATGTATCTAGCATCGACTTTTACGGAGTTTCCAACTCCAAGAAAGATAATTGGGAGAGCGTCAGTTCTTTGTAATATATTTTCAGCTGAAAGTAAGACTATCAGGTGTCAGCGTTCTATCAAACCGTTAGCTTATGTGTGATAGGCTATCCTTCGGAACCGTGTAATTAATAAGAATTTAGTAAGAGAGTGGAAAAGTCTGAATTCAAACCAGGGTTCTTAGTCTGTAGTAATGGTTGGAGGGTAGCCGAATTTTTCTACCTATCGTTTGATTAGGGCACAGGACAGTAATATCAACAGTAATATCTTTGACTGGTACTGCTTGAGGTCATTGGGTGAGACGGTTCACACACGTCACGAGACACGATCATTCAACTAACTATATTAAATGTCCTACTAAATCAAGCCGGGCGTGGTTGAAAAGGGTGTCAGGGGTTGTGAAAGAGCGTGAGGGATATTTCCCACATCTGACCACTTAAGATTTTCGTCAGCTTACACAAGAATTTGTCCACTTCATTAAATCTTTGTTCATACCAGGCCATTAAAGTCGTTCTCCCATTGTTAGAACATTGACCGTATTAGATGTTTAACTTCGAATCCCGTGGGGGGGCGGGTTCATGTATGCGCACTGCTGAGGAGTCCCATACTAGGACAAAACGGCCGTCCAGTGCTTCCAGGTTTTCAATTGTGGTCTAGCTTCAACTGACTCATGATTTCAACCTGTGAAATTTACTAAAATCTCCACAAAACTTATTCTGATAATAAACTATTTGTCAAAATTTGTTTTTGTTGCAAAAAGTTAACCTCCATTGAACTAATTAATCATATTATAAGCAGCATTGTCATGACAATCAAGTCTCACTAACAGTTTCTTGAATTTCATTTGCTGAAATTATTTCAGTTTAAAAAAATATGATTTGCTGTTGCATACAACCAATCAAGTAGAAGTATAACTTCATTTCCTTAGATAAACACTTAGTTCTTACTCTCTAACTGACATTTGTGATTCAAAGTGTATCTATAAAATAGTCTGTATGGCATCTAGAGAATTATCGACTGTTGAGATTGTGAATATTGAACAATCAAATGAAAGGAATCGTGAGCCACGTTGGGAACCAGATGAGGAAGGTATTGGTGCAGGAGGTGTCATACTGTTCATTCTCATAACTATCCTATTCATTTGTACATTTCCAATAACAATATTTTTTGCAATTCGTACAGTCAAAACATACGAACGAGCTATTATTTTACGTTTTGGTCGTTTGAAACGATCTGGTGGAAAATATGTTTTAGGTGCTGGATTACAGTTTGTCATGCCATGCGCAGATCAAATGATTCGCATAGATTTGCGTACAAAGACTGTGAACATACCACCACAAGAGATATTGACAAGTGATGCAGTTACTGTCGGTGTAGATGCTGTTGTATTCATGCGTGTGATTGAACCAGCTGCCGCTTTATTAAGAGTTGAAAATGCAGCCAAATCAGCTGAACTACTGGCAGTTACTGCGTTGCGTTCAGTACTGGGAACATATGAATTATCTCAATTATTGACAAATCGTGACCAGATTGATTCCAAGCTGGCCATTTTACTGGACCAGGCTACAGGTGAATGGGGAATTAAGGTAAAAAAAAGCCAAGTCATTTCTTGTTTATTTATTGTTTGGTTTATTAATATTTGAAATTTAATACCAATCCGAATTATCTTATCAAACGAGTTAACACGAATGACTTTAGTTTCCTCACTGTTGCTAAATAGTCTTCAAATAGAATAACTGTTTCCTTTTAATTCTACAGTTATTGTTCATTCTTCACCTGGTCAAAGTTATCAGGAGAACCAGCTGTACAAAATTCTTCAAAAAACTTAAAAGCATAATGAGTCTCATTAAATAATAAAGGAAATGAGTTTTCTACTTGTTTAAATTAAATTCTTGCTATTGTTTGAATTATCTACTATTTGTTCACTTTCAGATTAACCGGACTTTTAAAATGTAAACAGAAATAGGTTTACAACTGTCTTATTACCATATCAGATCGTTTTAAGATGTGTTCTCTGATCTGGCTGATTGATCTCAATTTCAGATTGCCATAGTAACGTTCGTTTTATTGTTGAATAGTGCGTTATTTGTACCATGATTCTGGTAATAACGTGAATGAGCTATCGACTTTTTATACTGATATTATTAATCCTAGACAGTTTCGTGCCATAAGTATATGGGTAAGAAACTTATCACGCTGAAATTTGGTAGCGACTCTTGACCAAATTTATCCGTGTTCAATCTAGTGATCAAAGAAGTAAAAGAATTAATCCGTTTATTAAATATGAAAACAAATTGAAATATAAGATGACTTTTGCTGACAGGATTAAGCATTTGTATTCACACATACGTTCGAATCTGGTAGTATGTTTATTCAACTGACAAGATAAAACATCATTTCATTTTATTTCTGGAGGAGCATATATATATATATATATATATATATATATATATATATAACAGTCAACACACGACCTATTACGAATTGTGATTCCTTCAAATCATTCCCATCCATCTAACTTCAGAAATGTGGGGTCATTTAGACTGGAGAAAACCTGGAAAATATATCAATCAATAGAATTTATTCCAAGTTGAAGGGCTAGACAAGCACGGCACAAGTTATTGCCAAATGATCTGTTAGTGTTAAATAATGATTATAAAATTTTGATAGCTAATGATTCAGTGTAAAATGTAACATGAATTTCAATGCCATAGATTTTAACTCTTCACTTAACATCATGTGTCGTTTGCTTATTTGTTACTGTCCGTTAATATTTTTAATAACTGTAGGTGGAACGAGTTGAAATTAAAGACGTTTCATTGCCTCAAGAAATGCAACGAGCCATGGCGGCAGAAGCACAAGCTGTTAGAGCTTCTAAAGCTAAAGTGATAGCAGCACAAGGTGAATTAGAAGCATCGTCGACATTAAGAAAAGCTGCTGAGGAAATGGCTAGATCACCAACTGCCTTACAATTACGTTATTTGCAAACATTGGCCACGATCGCAACAGAACAAAATTCAACAATTGTATTTCCGTTACCCATAGAACTACTTCAAAGTTTCTTATCAAAAAAACAATCGTAATTGATGCTCTATTATTTTTCGACTGTGTGTACCTATGACCGTATGTAGGTCTCCCAATCCATATCTATTGTACCTACTTTCAAGACAATAATCAAGCGAGCAAATTAACACTGATATCTTGCTGTGAAGACTGAACGTTTTTAAATAATTAATCACTGAGAAAAATTTGTGAGCAAATATTATTACTGTATTTTCTTCAAAATCTGAAATATTCGCATAATTATTATGACTTTTATACTGTGGTACTGTACATTTCTACAGTATTTGCATCAGGGATTAACAACAACGTGAAAATCACTAAGAAACGAAGACGCACTAGTTAGCTGGTTTTTCTAGCTCTAAAACTTCTCAGATAGTAACCGCTGAAGCCTAAGATAAATACCACTAAGTCAGGCTAGATGCACTCCAGCATGAAGCCAAGTGCACGCTTCACTATATATTTATATATACACCAATTACTCTCTGTTTTCGTTCTATTCTCTTCGATCTTCTAAACCTTCTACCCACAGACGTTTCACGTTCGAGTGATGATACATACTACTTATATCTGATTACATCTGTGGGACACACCACATTATATGTTTTTCGCAAATACAATTTTTGTTCATGTATGCAGTTATTGTTTGTACTAATTTACCTTATTCAAAAGTACATCTACCATATCATCTGGTCATTATTATGCAGAAAATATTTTTACTTTCAATTGGTCGAATCGAATATCAACATTTTGGGATGTTGATAACTAAAGCGAGAGTTTTTCAACTTTAGATTCTTATTTTTACGTGGTATAAATAACATTATTGGATCGTTTGTTCTTTTGTCGAATCAGTCAACGGATATCATGGATTTCTTTTTTTGATTTTGATTTAATTCGCTTAAAAATCTATATCGAGAGTCTAGGTATCAATGACAATAATTTCATATTTTGGGTGAAATAGAAATTCTTTACTATCAGATGTTAGGTGTTTGGTCCTCTCTTATTACTACTACTTAATGATATTGACAGGAAACTTCTCAAGTACCAATTTTTATTTGCTTTCTTTTCCTGATGCTCAGTATGATCATTCGGTTGTTATTACATCAATTTCGCCAAGAATAAGCTATGGAAGCAATGTTCCAAGGAAGCATTTGGTATATTTGTAATGTGCATTTATTACTTTACATTGTTACCTAACTGTAGGTTTCTATTCATATTTTTAAGAAACCCACTAATGACATTGAGTGATGATAATTTTAAATCATAAATTTTTTGATAATCTGTAAGGTTTTTTACACAATCTAACTACTACTGAACATATATAACTCAGCAACCACATCCTCCTTTGTATGACTGGTTGTGAGCCACGCATTTCTTGACTGAGGAATGATGATAAAATTTGGCTGTTAAAACTGATTTATGTGGATTACAGTTTGAACTTGTTACCTGATCGTTAAGATTTATTTCGTTTAATTAGTAAGCAACCAGTCAATCGTATATAAACATCTATAGAAGTATGTAGCATACCTTCAACGATAGTATCCAGCTACATTTAATGCCTTTTATTTTCATGAAATCAGAATGGGTTAGTGTACCTATTAGGTACTATATTTACACATTTCATCATTACCAAAGTATCTTTGATCTTAAAAGTCCTTGCGGGCATCCGTGAAATAGAAGAATTCTACCATACACAGTATCCAGTGAACAAAATGTCTGTCGAAAAGTGTGCAGTTAAAACCACTAGACAGTCGCCTACATGAAACTGATCTCGATAATAATGCAATCTTCTTGATTCGTTACAGAAAAGTGAACTGCTTGTTACTTTACTGTTCCATTGGGAAGCTACAAATTCTAAACTACCTCAGTTCAATGACAATTGAACGCTCGGAACCTGGACAATGCAACAAGAAAATGAATTTGTTGGCTTAGCAACTGTTTCTAATGTCAAGAATTATAGATTAACGATTTTTTTCAATATTTACTAACCAATCCAGTAAGAACACGTTTAATTAAACGTAACGTTTAAATTTCAAATGAAGGTACCCGTATTATTATTAAAGTATTTAAAAGGTAGAGAAATAAATTTGGCACAAAATAACCAATTATTGAGCTTAAACTTCACATATTACATTAATTAAAATTGTTTTTTGCCATTGTTGTCAACATATTATCACTGCCCAAAACAAAAAGTTCAAAATGTTATCCCTAAACTACCTAATTAGTATACTTCAAATAGTCTCTTGTTTAAGTGATTTTGAAAATATCAATGTGAAATTCGATAACTATTTACGTCCAGATGAACCTGATCTTCATATGTTAGATGACTCTAATTATCAAGGTCATGAACATTATGATGATTTTGGACAACATTACAGTGAATATGACCACGATCTAGTTACTGGTTCACATGAATATTCACAAAAATTTAAAGAACTAGATCCAGAAGAAGCAAAATTACAATTAGGAAAATTATTCCATAAAATCGATATTGACAATGATTTAAAAATTGATAAAGAGGAGTTGAAAGGTTGGATTATTCAGTCGTTTATGTGAGTTGGTTAAACCTTTATCGACAAAATATTTATTTAATGTTTGAATTCATGAGTCAATTGAAGCTAAACCACCGCAGAAAACCTGGAAGCACTGGACGGTCGTTTCGTTCTAGTACGGGACCCCTAAGCAGTGCGTATCCACGATCCCGCCTCGTGAGGTTCGAGCCCAGGACCTATCAGTTTCGTGCGCGAGTGCTTACCCTCTATACTACTGAGCCGGCATACAACGGAATCGTGAACGCTCACTCCTAAGGAGTCCCATACTAGGACGAAACGACCGTCCAGTGCTTCCAGGTTTTTCATGGTGGTCTAGCTTCAATCGACTCATGAATTCAACTGTTAAATTACTATAATATCCACAAATCTTCTCTCTGTTTAAAAATATTTATTGTCGGTCGTAAAATACATAAAACATATATGTACACTATTAAGGAGTACCAAACTCTAACAAAAAGTATTTTCACATCAAAACAAATATCACAAACAGACTAACTAAACAATAATCACATGCTCATCGTCGAAAAGCGTGAAGATTGACTCTTTAAGTCGTAGTGTGAATTCATGGCTAATGGAGTTCAAATGAGTCAACAAGTAGTGCAGTTAATCACCCATAAGTTTGAATGACATTTGAATTATATTTCAAACTGACTGATGTCGAAAATGTGAACCTTTTGACTTTAATATAGTAATATAAATGTGGTACACTCACCATAACAGCTGAAGGTTCTGTGTTTAATCTGGTAACAGATAGTATTTGAAAAGTGATTAATAGTTCCAAACTAAGACAAGACGGCTTTCGGTGGTTCCAGGTGCTCCATAGGGCAGCAGGTGTTATCCTATGACAAGAACTATTTTAAATTAAATTAAGCTCCTAACACCATACAACTAGAATTATTTTCTAAGTCGTAGAATACTCATAACCTGCAGTCAACTGAAAACATTTTCAGCTTCAATATGATAATAAAGTCTTCAAATTATACTATCATTAGTCAAGAGTAAACAGACTTAGCCATTTTGATTTAATAATAGTAGACTAAAGCTGTTCAGTAAAATTCATTGGTAAAAAGTAATCAATTAGTCAAGTGTAAAACGATTTTGATTTAATTCTAATCTATGAAAAAAATTAATGGGGATCGAGTAACCAAATCATTATACAATAAATAGAAGCTACCTTGGAGTTAGATAATTTTATTTTTGTATGTACTCTTGTCTTTGGATTTTCTACTGACTGTCGAATAACGAGTTTTTCATCAACGGCAACTAAATTATCAGATCTAACTTAGCTAAAGAATATATCTGATTTAGACCACTCAGTCTCTATATACGTTGATTAAAATGTCTTCCATAAATTCTATGTAAAACTGTTCTCGACGAAGGATCCTACAAAACACTCACATTATTTTATGAAAATAGGTCTAGGAAGCATGTAAATTCGAGTAAAATGAAACTTTATTCATATCAGAGAGGTTTTAAAACTTTTTTCCATCAACTTTCTTGACCCAATGAGTTCTTAAACTGGGGAACATAAGTGACAGAGATTTTTTTCTTTTAAAACGTTTGGCTGAAGTTGGCAAGATAAAATTATCAGCATTTATTTAGATAGTATTGCTTGTATTTGGATTATTTCCAATATTTATTAAGTATCATTTGGAAAACCTTCAAGATCGGGAGACCAGTTTATGATAAGCTTGTCCTCCAGTGAATACAAAATGTCTTGAAACGTATCAGAATCAATAGTATTCAGGTATTAACAAGTGATTGGTTTAAGGATGGGTATTTTTAATGCTGTACCGAGAGAATATAACTCTTAGAGTTGACCACATGTATAGTAATACAAATTGTCACCAATAATATAAGGTTAGGTTCAATCTATATTGGGAATATCAGTTTGAGACAGATGATCAAAAAATACAAACTTCAAAGGTGATCAAAGTAATAGATATCTATTAGATTGAAAACCGACGAAAACCTCGAAATATATCACAGGTGTTTCTTCCACCATCGTTGCCTCATAAAACATAAGTTCCAAAGCTCACTGGTCACATAACAAGACCGAACGACTGAGTTACAATTTAATGGTCCACAATTTTACCTTCACCTGGCTCACTATATGGCGTAATTGTTATTTGATATCATCAGTGATTGTATATCACACAAGAATGACTACACAGGTTACTCAGTCCCACTAAAACTTAGAAAAATGTATTTTGAATTCATTAATTATAAAGTATATAATTATCACTAACCGACTGGCAACATAGGAAGATGACCATGTTGTATCACTGTGTAATGTATCGTAAAATTATGTTATCGGTTTCTGTATTTCACTCAACCGAGTGTTGTTTTCATATCTAACAATGCATGCACACAGCATTGCAGTATGAACACTATTCAGTCTTACAAATACTGAAGCGTCAAAGAAAACTAGGATAATCACATCGCTCAAATAGACCCTAGTTAAGTATTATTAATATCTTTTCCCAATACTTGTGCTAAGTTTATTAAAATTAAATTTAAAAAGAATTAATTTGTATCATCTTACTGAAACAAGTCAATTTGTGGTGTATGAGGAACAATTCAGGCAACGAGTTTCGGTTTGCACTATCAAGTATTTTTAAGATGTTTTCCAGGTTATTTTGGTAATGTTGCATTCTGAGAGCTGAATGGTTTAATTAAGAAGCTTTCGTTGCCATTCTGTCCAGAATCATCCATTCCTACTGCATGCGCAAATCTTATTCTTAGTAATTATCCAAGAAATACCAAGGCAAGCTGTTTTAATAAGTTCGTTTGTGATTAATTGTCCCCGTAGGTTGAGTCATCTTTATGTGCCTTGAAATTGTTTATCTCCAACCGTCTGATTGGTGTGTCATTTCCTCAAGGATTAATGAACTGACTCTATACCTATATGTTCACTAATCACAGATTAATCTGAATGGGATACTTCTAGCGATTCTTTGACACCACTTGGATTTCGTTAGTCCGGAATTTTCACATTTTCTCTATCAAATTTGTGGCTGTAGACGTTAACGTGTATTTTGTATAAGTGATAATATATATGTATATTCATGTAACATACGACATTCAGATGTTATCATTGTTACAATACTATTCATCTATTGGGTTCCAATCTGATAGTCTATAATTTTAACTTATATAAGTTTACAATGCACTATGGCCATCATTCTATGCAATCACTGGGCTAAATGTGAAATTGGCTTCAAATTAATATTTCGAGATATTCATTCCAAGGTTACGGAGATTATCGATAGTTTTGTAGCGGTTATATTAATCTAAACTGTACAACTCACTTATGATATACCTAATAATATTTTCTAAATTGACTAGAAATTTGAAATTTGAACCAAAATCTATGAGAAGTTGTAATTTTTTCAAGTTACCTCCCCGCTATGTTCGGGGATTGAGTTATCGCCTTTGACTATAGGCAGTGAAAGTCAACAACACAACAACCGGACAATTCAAGGTAATCCTCTGAGTCCCAGCCATGCTAATTAGATGAAAAAGATCAGATTAAGACAGGAAAATATATAGTTCCACAAGAAGTCCGGAAGAACGAACAACAAGCACACAACACATGCATACTTATAAAATACAAAAATGTCTCTGAAAAACGCGATAAAATAGCGTACGAAAAAAAAAGAACCAGTAACTTTTAAGGTGAAAATGAGAAATTCATATTTTTATAATTAATTTGCAAAAATGAAAAGTTAACCTAGTGATTTCTAGGAATCTAGTATCCCCACACTCACAGGTTATTCCTGAACTGTGTCCGCCAACTTAATTTCAGTTAGAGAGAGAACTGTTTTTCATTTGTTTGGCGATCAATCCTTCGTTTGTCTATCAACATATTCATTTCAATGCGTAGTAATTACACATATATATAACTGAAATGTCACATATTGAAACCAAATACTTCTGATAAAATGAAAATCAATAATTTAATTTTGTGAACTTTGTCAATACAATTTCTTTTGGTTCGGACCTAAAGCCCATATTCCTCAATGGGATAGATACTATAATGCGAGAAATAAACTGCAGTTATTAGTGGTAACGCTCCTGATTCGAGCATCTGACTATGAGGTTAACACTTTTGGGGAGTAGCACTTTCCTCAAGATTGAAGATACCCCTGGTTAGTAAGACCTGACTGTCATGAAACCTTTGTCAAAAAGAACTATCCATTAACTGACTTCTAAAATCTAACGTATATCAGTTTGATCTGCTCTCATATATCAAAGATATAATTTTGACATCATTTTAGAGTTCATAAAAATCATATAAATCCTTAGTCTCTTAATGATGAATTTGTAAACTGTTTTGTTTACCAATTATGGAATACATTGAAATGAGAAAGATCAATGATAATTTGGGTAGGTTATTCTAAACTGATTATCGTTTTAGCATTGTAGTAGTTTTCGTCGAATAGTATTTATATCTTACTCTTCTTTAGATCAAACTATACGCATTCTTTCAAGTTTAGCTATTTCCATAGATTACGATTATTCACTAGAAATTCGATGAATTCATCTAGAAGAAAGTTATCTAAGATTTATGTATTTTATCGATAAAGTCAGTAATAAGTTGATGTGTCAGTTCTGTGTGTCGGTTCTGTAGTTGTTTATCCATTAAGGTTTATAAGTTATGGTATGTAACGATATTATCATTTATTTCTTTGATGAATTAAAACAAAAATCATTCTTATTTTTTCTATTCTCTCTGGTTCGACGGTTTTAAGGAAGGAAAATTTACCAAAAGTGATATAAGGAACAAAGATAACCATTATTTGAAGAATAATTTGTCTTTAATTAAGTGTAAAAGCATAAATATATTTCGTAGTTCACATCATGATCTGACTATTGCTTTACAATTGTGGAAAACCAAGAAGCATTAAACAACTAACTCATCCTCGAAGAGGACTCTGTGGCAGCTTTGATTTATGGATTTATTTTTATATTGACTGATAAAAACATCAATAAATAAAGTGGGAAAATAATCTAGATTTTACTAGTTCTTTTTAAGGCTTTCTTTACCTATCATATTCATTCTGTTATCTTTTTACATGTATTTATCAGTTCCCTTGATCTTGAAGCGTCCAAACCACGTTTTAAAGAATATGATGCCAATGGTGATGGTCAAGTTGCATGGTCTGAATATACAAATAAAATTTATGGTTACACAGCTCAAGAGTTAGAAGATTTTCGTAAAGATAGTAAGAATGATACAAAATTATTTATCCAGGTAAAATGTTTACTTTGTTTGTACATCTTGTACGTTGCTAAGTTAAGGTTATTGTAAATATAATTATTTGTAAATTTGTATTTCTAATATATAGATAATACTTGTTAAACCTCTTTTTTAACAATACAATTTAAGGTGGTTAATTTTAATGGAATAATTTATGAGAATAAGTAGCCCAATTGCTTTTATTTGTTCTCTTGTAATGGCATGACCTGACGGATATAGATGTTCTGAGAAACAGAAGTATTTTACTAATGATAATTAAATAATAACCCCTGAACATAATAAATGAAAAACTATATGTACCTTATAAATAGCATTTAATTTTGTATATTATATAAATAGATAATAAAAAAATGACTTCTTGTTGTTGTTACGAAATCTATAACGATTGTCCAAAATACTAACAGATAACAATTCTAAACATGTAGCTAATTTTATGTACTAAAACGTTTTGCAAATAACTTTGTATAAATTAAAGAAAGTATTTGTCATGAACTGATATGAGCTAGGTATAATTGTGGGAACCTGGACGTACTACACAGATGTTCTACTGCATCACAGCGAGCACAATACATTTGAATTGAAAATGTTTGCTCTAATGGTTTGCAATACCTACTTCAATCAACTCTATATAATAGGACCCTTATCCAATGCTACTATTAAGTGATTCACTCACTCTTGAAATCGTTAACTTCATAGCTTACTGAAATAGCTCATTGGAAATTAGGGAAACCGATCGTGAACCACTCACTTACGCCTTTTACCCCTAATGGAGGATCGTAAACTGTCCAACAATATTCTCCATCCAACTCTGTCCTGGGCAATCCTTTCTAGTTGCTGCGATCATGAACCAAGTCACTTGTAATTGTGATCATTATGAAGAGGCTGGGGAGTACTAAATTAAGACTAGTGGTTTTTGGTTATCTTCAGACTTTAATATCTTCATTCATTCGTTTTTCAAGTGGCTGTTTCAAGGGTCATCCTTATGATTTGAACTTTTAATTTTAATACAGAGGGAAGTTTTATGGTTTGATAACACCTAATACCAACAAACATGGTAGAGGGTACGTCTGAATTCAATAGCATTGAATTAAAAGAAAGCCTATCTGAAAAGCTTCAGATTTGATTAATGTGACCAGCAAATGATTACTTTTCCTTGTATCTCATAACGTGTAAAACCACGTCATGTTGGTTTTTTCTGGTTTTGTGTAATAAATCTTCAGTCCACTTTTTTTAGTCTATTGAAGTATTCATAAGATTATAGTCAAATAACTATATCACAAAATTTAGCGAGGAAGTATAAACAATGAACAAACATGATGATGTTGTGGGAAGATTATAATACCGATTTACATAAATGTAAACGGTGATGATAATAATAATAATTTGTGTAACTTCTACGAAATGTGTGTAAATCAAAAGGCATGTACAACTAATAAACTAGCACTGGATTATAGTGTGAATGGAGTAAGGTAATTAAAAAAAATTTCACAAGAAATAAGTGTGCTAGAGGGACTAAATGAAATGAAGTTAGATCAAAAACAATACTGAATAAAACCATAGAGGTATGAGAAGTAATTAAAGGGAGGGAAATATTTTCAAACGCAAAATCAGTTAAATGAGATGAAAATACTAACAATAGCAGTAGATAAAGACCACGATAAAAACAAGGACAAGACATACTTCTTTTGCACACAAAGTTCAGGCTTCATTTGGCGGACAAAAAGGGCTCTCGTTGTTTTAAGGAGTTGGATAAGAACGAATTATAATTCATTTTTGTATTGTTTGTTTAAATCTTTCCATTGATGTTTAGGACTGTAACTCATCAGTCTCTTATAGAAATATGTGCATCCTATGCGGATTGTCCCAATATCACCTTGAATCACAAGCCTTATAAGCATTGATAGGCTGTTTTATCCCAATAAGGAACTTCTGTACAATCACCCCAGGTTTCATTTTGTATGAATCTTGTCACTTGTGATTCATTTATTAGTCAAAGGAAAGACTGGTCATCCAAACGATCTGTCTAAAGAAAACCTAGATGGAAACGAGAGTACTTTAGCACTTATAGTTTTTGTTTAGTCCCATACGAACGTAGTTTGATAAAGAGGCTATTCGATAAGGTTGAGTGTATCTGTACAACTGAAAATGTTGAAACTGCTACACGAAACATTGGCACCAAATGAATGTGCATTAAAATTCGTAAATCGATGGAAAACTTGCGGTATTTTAAGATCTAATATGTCTCTAGCACTTGAAAAGTCTATTTAACTCACTCTACCATTTAGAGTTCAGTCATTTAGTCTTGTGTTGAAATGAAGGCTTAAATGGGCTCTCAATAGAGCATTCTATACAGCTATTGTCATTATTATTATTGGAAGAAAATCTATGCTTCACCAAGACCCAAATGGTATCTAAACGATTGCATCACAGCTCATTATGTTAATTTATCTCTATGTTTGCATGGATACATATGGATAAACAGGAGTAATCGTGATTTACGAATCAAGGTGGCTGGGTTTTGTAACGCCTTGGACATACGTAAGTCCGAATTCTCCTGTGTTTATGAACACTTTGTACGAACACCAAATCTGTCTTGGTAATAGTCATTTCATATCCAGAGTTATGTGATTCATATCACTGTTTTTTGTATTGTCATGACTTTTATTTTTATGTATAAATGCCCTAACGACTTACAATGAGATCAGAATTTTGAAAGGTAATAGCCCAGTACATCACACAGTTGAAAAACCACATGCGAAATTATTCTGTATGTTAGACATTGTCGTTTTATCAAGTTATCTACATTTGTCAAAGTGTCTAAACGCGTTAACTTCGAAAAAGGCAAAATTTTAAATGTTGATAATTAATGTAATTTGTAGTGATTTGGGTTGTCACTTTGTTAGCATTTTTGAACGAATTTTAATAAACCTTGGTTGGCATATGCCTTGATGTAGCCATTATACCACAAGTTTATATAGGACAGATGGTATGTGCCCAGTAGTGGAATCAAAAATAAGCGTTTCGTCCTATATGGCACTTGACAACCGAATTTACCTGAATTCTAGATATGATGTCTGTCCAGTCAGAAATATTAACAGAGGGATAACCCAAACCATGACAAATTCAAACAAATTCATTCCCGTTTCCCAAGTGAGTGACTAACTAGAATCTGAAGTTAAGTAAACAACGAGTCAAATGTTTGAGACCAATCCAAAATGGGAAATCAACACTAGGATGCAGATATATCCAACTGACGAGTCCCAAGTAGGACGAAATGCGCTTCATAGTTTGTATTACTGAACACATTCCACTTATTCTTTAATAATGAGTAATTATTAACTTTTCAGTTGATGAAGTTAAATTCAAATCTCAACAATAGACATGTCTAATCATGCTTTATTCCCTATAAATAAGTCATCTATTAGATAAGTCAAATTAGGATTCTGCAAATGTCCACGCTTGTGTGCTCTATTCATCGATATTATGCGATTATCGATCCATTATAAGTATGCGTTACTTATAAATTACACTTTACATACTTTCACGTAATTATCTTTATAACACTTAGAAAGCACGGCAAATGTTTTTTTATAAAAGACACTTAACTACAGCTTCCTCTCAAAAATTTCATGATTAATTTCTTTCGGTTTTAGATTTAGATATATGCGACTATGACATAAATTTCAAAATAAATTAATTTGATCAAAAATTAAAATACAAAAGTAATAGCTGAAATTAAGAGAGCATCCAACAATGAACTCTTTTTATCTTTGGCTTAGTAATTCAAGTAACTAACCTCCAGACAACTGATCTTTATCTATTTCAACTAAAGATAACCTAATAGGGTTTCAAGTTTTCCAACAAAAGTGTAACTGAAAGATGAGTTGAAGGGAGTTTGTACTTCTTGAATGAATTATCATGATAATAATGATAATTCTGAAATATTTCCTTGGAATCTTGAAGCTATATATATAACTACAGACTGTTAAAAGAATATTTCTCGTTTAAACATATAGTTTGATAACAAATTTTTGTAATGACGATTATTAACTGAATTGGAGAGTTTTATATTCCATGTTTGTCCAATTCAGACACAGATATAGACACATTGACTATGTTCTTGACTAACCAGCTACACCAATTAGAAGAATTAGAGTGACTAGGAATCTGTAATTGACAGACTGAATAAAGTGATTGCAAGTCATAGGTACATAAACATCTATCCTTCTGACTTATACAATGACATATGAACTTAACTAAGTGACATCCTCCAACAGCCTGCCTTGTTGACAATCTCTCACGCACCGTTTGATTTTGAAGCAGAATATGAATACAGGCACTTATTATGTCTGGTCTCACCCAGCCTGTCAAATAGTAAATCACAACAAAAGGTCTATTAACAGTGGTATTTTGCTTACACACTAAAGCTAGTGTGGATTTGGTACATATGTTCAAATTTGCTTAGAAAAGTCTCATTGTTTCCTAATTCCTGTTTTTCTTATTTGTTTGAATAAATTAACTAGTCTTTAGATGAGGAAAAATTAAAGTTCGATTCAGCTGATCAGGATAAAACTGGTTACTTAAATGAAACAGAATTTGTTGCATTTGAACATCCTCATAATTATCGTCATATGGCACCGTATGAATTAAAACATACTTTAAGGGATTTCGATAAAGATAAAGACGGATTTATTAATGAACTGGAATACTTAGCCGATGGTAAGTAGCATACAAATGAGCAATAATAATAATAATACTAATAATAATAATAATAATAATAATAGTAATAATAATAATAATAATAATAATAATAATAATAGTAATAATAATAATAATAATAATAATAATGATTCTACGAACATTATTGGGCAGATAAGCATTTTATCAAATGTTATTCAGTCTGTAAAACACTTTTTATCACAGACTAAAATCTTGTAAACTAACGAAAAATAGAAGGCGTTGTACAGCTGTTCCATTTTAGTTCGAGACACTTCCACAGCATGGTTTCGAAATTCATGCGATGAATCCAACTCAAAGGATTTTGATATTATAGCGAGCACAACACTACTTAATTACTGGCTACAAATAGAACAGTCCACACTTTTAAGTCAACTGGGATTATACTGTACTTCTTATGAAATCCCATTAGTGAATATATGCCTTATTATTGATTAAGTTAAATCCACATGTCTTGAATTCAATAGTCAATGGTAACTATAGTTATTATGTAAACAATTGGTTTGTTGAAAATCATGAATTTTCTAGGTTCAACCTCATGTGAGGTTATGTGAGCACTACAGTAGTGTCCCAAACTAGGAGAGTACTGCTGATCATCCCCTATGGGTTGTATTGGTTTCATAAATGATTTCTGTTCAAGATTAAAACGACCTTAAAGCAAAACAAATAGTCACAAACCACACTAATATATGTGTCCTTAATTGTTTTTTTAATTGATCTGTTATTAATGGAATTCACATCCGTAACGTAGTTTATTGGATAACTTTATTTACTATGTTCATCGCATAGGATTATACTTCACAATATTTACAGTTACTGTTTCATTGATACGCATGTTAAATACCATAGTGTATCACTCACTGTTGTTATTGTCATTGGCAAATGTTTAAGTCCTGAAAGTACTGATGAGCTTTATTTAAGCGTTATCCTAAAAAGTTTGGGAGTGATAGATTTTTTCCTTATATAAACAACTTTGCGATAAACATAAGAGTAATATCAGCACTAAGTGATCAATGCAATGTTTTCTACTTCCTACTACGAACGAAATTCGTTCCTTCTTTATTTACCAAAAAAGGAACTGACAAATTCTTTGATGAAATGTCAGCATCATAGTAATTATGTAAGAATATATATCAGTTGATCGTCTCAGACGTCACTGTTATTTCGTTTCCACACCAAACATTATTTGTTCTCATCCTCTTCTCTTCGATCTTCTTAACCTTCTACCTCCAGGTATTTCACATTCGATTGATGATACAAACTATTTATATCTGGTGACATCAGTAGCACACACCATACTCTTACCAAGGTTAATGATATCACCTGACTGCCAAAAAGAAAATAATTAGAGTAGAAATTCCAATGCATTAACTCCAAACCTACTGATAATTAATAGAGAAGCAAATTTTAATGTATATAAACCACCTAATTAAACATTTTTCTAACTGTTATCACTATATTTTTTAGATAAAATGAATAAAGATGCACTCATCATAGAAAGAGAGAATTTTAAAAACTACGACATTAATAGTGATGGAAAACTAGATCCAAGTGAAATGGCATTATGGGTTACACCGGGTGAGTTATAGTGTTTTAATTATGGTCATTAGTACACTGTAACCCTCCTGACTTTACTCCCGGACCCAAGCTCGGATAACGGAGGAGTGTTGGGCATGAGATCAGCAACATTATCCCGAAGAAAACGACCTTACTAAAAAAGGGCTAAGCAAAAAAAAACGACTTAAACTATCTAAACTCTGCCCTGAAAGTTGAAGGGTCTTCATTAAGAAGAATTATAACGACTCATGGTGATAGCCAAGATTCTTTAGAAAACATGAAATCGATGCCCCTTCTGACAGCGAGAGCAACAATTCACATAGGTACATGGAATGTTCGGAAAATGTGCGATTAGGAGGACCAGTCAAATAGTTGCCGAAATGGAAAGATATAACTTGATGGTACTCACAACAAGTGAAACCCATTGGACCTAAGCTGGGCAGTCATCGTTGTATTCTGTTCCCGAGGATGAACATGCTTCGCCAACACAAGGAGTTGGATTGATGCTGTTCAAATAAGCACGAGAAGCACTTATGGGATGAGAATCTCATGGACTCAGGGTCATCAAAGCATTCTTCTAAACGAAGAAGGAGGGGATCACAATGAATTTTTCTATTGCTATACACCCACCAATAAAAGCAACGAAGAAAACAGAGATCAGTTTTATGAGAGGCTGCAGTCGATCATAGAGAAGTGTCCATGAATGCACCTGAACATCCTGACGGAAGATTTAGACGCCAAAGTTGGAATGGACAACACCGCCTGTGAACATATCATGGGACGAAATAGACTGGGAGAAAGCAACAAGAATGATGGTAGATTTGCAGATTTATGTGCATTCAACAAAATACGAACAATATACATCACAAACGCGTGCACACAGCTACATGGTTCTTAACAGATTACATTACATAGAAGCAAATCGAACAGATCTGGATCACTAAAAAATTAAGATCAACGAAAGACATGAGAATAAAGAGAGCAAAACTCATAGCTTCAGATCACCACCAGGTCGTCTCCAGGATGAAACTGAAGATAAAGAAGCACTGCACAACGGGAGAAATAGCATTGGAGAGGTTTAATACAGTCTGCCCTCGAGATATTGACAAACTCAACGAATTCAAGATAGCTGTCAACAATAGGTTCCATGCCTTACGAGATCAACTCATAAAGGAAGAAACTATTATGGAGGATAACTGGGAAGGGATCAAAGAAGCGCTAACTCCAACGTATCAGCAGGTGTTGGACCTCAAGAAGCATCGTCATAAAGAATATATCTCTATGGAAATGCCGAACAGCATTGAGGAAAGAAAGAATAAGAAGACAGCAATCAACAACGGTCGAACAAGAACAGAGAAAATCAAGACACAAGCTGAATACACAGAAGTAAACAAGAGATTGAAATGAATCATTAGAGCCGACAAGCAGAAGTAGCTGAGGAAATCGTCAACATCATACGGAATTCATGCGATAGACTACACTTCAAAGTCGTGTATGGAGGACAGATGACAGATGTATTTCATGCGAGAACCGGTGTTAGACAGTACTGCTTACTCTTTCTCTCTCTATTTCTCTTTCTTCTGGTGTTTGACTGGATTATGAAGACCTTGATATATGAGGGAATGCACGAAATAAAATTGACAGATTGGATACGGTTCAGCGATTTGAACTTCGCATATGACCTAGCTCTTCTTTTCTATATACACCAACAAATTCAGGTAAAGACAATTGGTGTTTATCTTCCAATATCCTGTCCCTCCATAAACGCAGCACGTATCATTCCTTTTATGATTTACTCGTAATGCCACAATCTCACGCCTCGGCTCCTCAATCTTCTTCTCGACACTGTTTATCTCCTGACCTCGGCACCCGACCGGAGACTACTGTTCGGGTCACCTTCGCCAGTTCATTGATATCCATAGGTTTTACGGCGTTTACTAGTTCCAGCTGCTGAGAAACGGTTACAGACACACTCACGATAAAGTTCGATGCAAATAACTCTTCATCCAGACTCTGAAGCGCGTGGCGCAACAACCTGGTAAACTCCACAGCCAGCACAAGTGGGTCAACACCAACCGGAAACTTCACCAGCCGGGACTTCTGCAGTGCTTCTTCCTCGTACACTGGGCTGTCGAACTCCACGACTGCCTCTAGTGTCGTCTTCCCACCAGCACTATTCAAGCTGTCATGTACAGCTTTCGCCCTGCCTTTCAGCTGCGTCCTCAGCACCACCATCTTCGCCTTAGGCTCCTTCACTTCCACCAACTCCTGCACGGCCTCGAACTCCTTCGGGAGGCCCAGTGCATCTCCATCCTCAAATTCCTTCGGCCATAAGATCTTCATTGTTAGTGGAGGCAGCGACATCAAATGTAGTGAAGGAGGACACAGGTGAGGACAACCGATTGTATTCAGCACAAAAATTACAGTTACTTGATAAAATAGAAAAACCATACTCTAATACTTCATTAGCAAAATGTTCATTAATTGTCTCAAACTTCATCGTCCCTGCATTTCCATACCAATCGCTTTCTGTCCTCGTTCTTCCCTTCTTGATCTTCTCAATCTTCTGCTGCCAGACACTCTATTCCTGACTCGATTTATATACTACTGATGTCGATATAAGTAGCACACACCACAGGGTCACTGAAGTATCTAAAGATCTTACTGGAAACAAATCAGACTCATTCAATAAAAACTATCAATATGATATATTCATTTATTATTATAACTCTTAAAATGAAATTAGGATGCAAATCACTTAATGGATCTTCAACTGTGCAAGAGTGACATAAAGTATCTTCAGGTATCCGTTTATCATAAATCAACAAAAAATGTATGACTGATTTCTTCTTTCATTTATTGAATTTGTCACAAGTATACAATAAATGGTATATGAAACCCTGACCATAAGTGACAACTACATTCCCTTTCTTACCAAAAGTGATGCTTAGGAAATTATGGCACATCTGTCGTCATCACATTTTGTGCTGTTGAAGAGATTCTACCTATTTACAATACAATTATTGATGAAAAGTCTTGTAACACTTCAGCTTTTATTTGTAACCTATTTATAACTTATCAAAGAGTAGATGACAAGTTCCTACTTCCAGTATATGAGGTATTTACTTTTGTAAAGTCCACTTTGCATTTAGTCCCATGGAAACATCCAAAATAACATTGTTTAGTATGTACTTTTAGCGAAGAATATCGGTTACTTTAAGCTATATTCTTAATTATCTACTTTGCTTAGCCATTTATCATCTAGAAAACTTTATTTCTAGATAATTTACAAAGTAGCACTTAGGTGTTCTAATGAATTCTCTTCATAATATACTTACCAAGATGCCAACAAGATTTGAAATAAAAATTTTGAACTCAGAGTCTTTTGTCCATTTCCTATCGCTAATATTGTACTACTCTAACTAATTTCTTCTCAAATTTTGCAGCAATTATGTTAAAAAGAATAGCTTCTGGTCGTTCACTTACACTTTTCACTATAACGTAATTCATTTCTTGAGTTGTAATTTTTTACAAAAGAAGTAGTACTTGGTGAAATATTAGTTTAACTCTCATCCATACATATAGCCTGGTAATTGCCGACTACACACGAAAATGATGCTACATTTTAGTGAATCTCATCGGTTTAAACTCAACTAAATCTTAAACGCAAACTTTATGGGATTGCATAATCATGGTTAATTCCTGTTCATATGTCCTCACGGAAATAATGCTTTAACAAAAAAATTTTCATACATATATGAGATTTTACAGATCGATCATAACTTCGTTGAAGAGATCCCTTTTATGGGATTTGTTGCACAAACTTACTACTTAAGCATAAAAAGTAGTATGATTAAAATAAAACAATTTTGTGCATAATTTAATTGGTAGGTTTAAGTAAATGAACAGTGGATAGGGGTAAAACAAGGATGAAATATCTGTCTAATGGCCACTGGCTTTTAATAGTTGTCCAGATGAAGTCAGTTCACAACAAAAGCCAACCATAGGTTATTGCATATTTTTAAATTCCTAATGTAAATTTAAAGCTTTCAGCTGTTTCTGAATAAATCTTTTTCAAAGGTTTTGACAAAACAGCCACCGATGAAACTGAACATTTATTCAATGAAACTGACAAAGACAAAGATGGTTTATTAACAAAAGAAGAAGTACTTGATCAACATGATTTATGGGTTGGAAGTCAAGCAACTGATTATGGAAGGCATTTAGAGAACTTACCAAAAGATGAACTATAGTCAAAGTGGCTGAGTCACTAATAATTTAAACTGAATATATACTGATCAGTATACTTATTTATGCAAAATAAGGTTTAAATTTTTCCTGAAAAACCGATTCACGATTACTGTTGTTTTGTAATGTTTGGTGTTGATGAAGTTAATAGAATATTCCCACTTAACATTATAATAAACCATGTTAATCATTACCTTTGTGATACTTTATACTGCCTCAACACTAAGTTTATTTAAATGTTAAGTGTAATATTCATGTGTTGAAGTAGTAAATAATACTAGTTCAAATAGAACTAGAGAGTGTTGGTTCTTCTTTGTTAGGAACTCATCACAGTTGTTCAAATCTGAACAAAACACTAAATAAATTAGAAAATATTTCTTTCATTTATCATTAATTTTTTCTCATACAATGTCAGGGTATAAGCTTATAAACTATACTGATCCCCACTAATAAGGTTTATACATGATCGGATCAATATTTAAATACCTCTACTTTTACAGTCTTACAAATAATAAATAAAACAAGTGAAATCATTTCATCAACTCCGAGTTTTAAGAGATCGTAATAGTATGTTAGCTTAACTTATAAATCATCAATTTTGATTAGAATTAGTTCTTCATTATTTAATCTATCTACCTTCACATTAGTAAGTGTAAGTGCAATAAGTGAAAACCCAGGTGGGGAAAACCACTGTATCTTCATAAAATATGAAAACCGTACATTAAATACATGTGCAAATCTTCCTTCAGTCGTCCTTTACAGGATTTATGATTCTATCAATTCTGTTGTTATTACAATTGCTCTTTGTTTCCTTTCCTGTTCTCTTCAATTTAATCTTCTTCTGCTAAGCATTTGACTTTCAATTGGTGCTACATACTACTTATATCTATCAACATAAGTAGCGTACACTATTTTATTACTGAGGTAAGAGCACATTAGCTTGACTCATTTTATGATCTTTAAAAAAGACAAACCAGCACTGGTGGCAAGGTGCATCCAAAGTCTGTTGTTTGACCGTCCTATTTTAGCTCATATTGTGTATGGAAACAAAATAATTGTTAAATATTCACTGCTCATAGTGAAGATTTTTGCAACGTTCAATATTGTTATAACTTGTGGTTTTGTGCCATTTTAATTTATAACGTAAATATACCATCAAGTAGAGAATAGTGATTTATCGACCGGACCAATGTCGCATAAAACCCGTACGGGAAATCTAGAGTCCTTATAGGTCCTGCTTCCTTCATAGCCCTGCCTGTTAAGTCCAGAATACCAATCTCAGCCTCTGAGATATGGATCATTTATTTCAAACATACTGGGCTCATATACAAACTAAACAGACCACGTCGTACCACAAAACGGAAAATAAGATTTGTACAAGATTCAGACCAAAGTGGCTGTGAATAAGACTGGGAATAACTCAAGAGTGATAAATCGTATAATGAAAGTTCATAGGTCAAAATAAAGGTCATAAGAAAAGGAACATGAATATGAATAGTTTAGTTACTTAACAATTATACACTAAAAACATATGTATAGTATTAGTCCAGAAATAGATTCTGACAGTTACCATTCATTATTCTCATCGGGATATAACAAATACGTATATTATTTATGTCACTTTCAACCACTATTCTCCTCCCAGTCTTTTGAATGGATGAGGCATGTGAATGGGTAAATTTTAGTTGAGATTTAATTTCAAGCTGTAAATTTCTATAAATTACATTTCTGCTCCCGCATGTTGAAATCACTACGCTGCCATGTTCATAGCAAACATTCGTGGATGACTTCAGAAGCTAGAAACATAATCTTTAGTAGAAATCCACCTCAACAATCAAAATCTTCCTCGTAGATGAACGAGAAGTTAGCTAAATGTACTGGATACAAAGCACGAATTGAAAACTAAAATTGCTGTCGACAACCTGAGTTCTTTTTATATTATTATTATAAGCTTTATTCAACATTATATTTTTGGTACAATATGGAATTCTCAGCATAAAGTATTTCAACAAGTTTCCTTTTCTTATATCTTGATCGATTCTGACAATAAATATCGAGTGACGGCCAGTTAGATGTTAGGAGTTCGGTAATCCACATATGACTAATGTTCATTCGTTTCAATGCATATTGCCAGCCACCATGATGTCGCTGATTGTACCTTTTTGTAACCTGTACAACGAAAGGTCGTAAACTGTTCATAAACGCGCCTGAATAGGTTGTGAGCTAAGTAGACATAATGATGTGCTAAAACAAACAAGAAAACAAATAACTTGACGAAATATCAAGATGAGAGGAACAGGTAGCCCAGATATTCAAGTAGGCCGCCGATTCTTACCCATAAATTGACATCATTGGATCTGTGTACGTATTCTTACTGACTACCCGTTTTGCTGTTTCACTGTCATCTTCTTTCTTTTTGCATTCTTTGAATTCGTCCATTCCTCTTTACGTGTCCGCATATAATTTTGAAGTCTGTATTCCTTATTGTATTTTTAACTTGTATCATGATCGTTCGTTTAAACGGAGACCTATGAGGTGGAAAAAACAGAATTTAATCACTTGATTCATTGTATACTTAACCTTAAAATATGTTCTGTTGTACTGCTGTTTTACTTTCATAATTTAATACGTGTTATAGTCATCCGTTATTGGTTTTTCTGGACTCCCTTAGATCCCTAATTTACATTTAACCGAATCTGCTTCATAAAATGACTTTATTGTAATTTTAAAAAAAATCTTAGTTGAATTTTAATTCTAATATATACCTGGTAATATGCATAACATTCCCATTTGTTTCTTGAATTTTAATTGGAACAACATTAATTTTCCATATCGGAGGCGTTTACACATTACTTCTGCCAGGTTTCGATCTCTTTAGGTGTAAATAGCTACTCGTTCACGTGGAATTTTCCCTTGATCTACTGGATATACTCATGGATATCAAGTGAGATAAACATATGAACTACTATGTTATTATTCACATTATTTATCTTCTCGGACTACAAGATGCTAGGTCTATGGTGGATAATATGTTCCTGAATCATGAAAATTCTGGTTTGAGGAAAAAGTAGTACATTTAACTAATATGATAGTTGTTTAGACTTATAAAGTCAAATGACAGTTATTTAAGTCAGCAAGAAAAAAAAACATGGAACTCCTAGCATCACTGGAGATAAAATAAGACATTTGTGTTTTCCAATTTCTCGTATTGGTTACATAACAACTGTCTCAATTATTTTACTCTGAGTTAAACTAAATTCATTACTGCACAATTTTTTTTACCTAGATTGTCATTAAATCTGTGTTGGAGCATTAAGCTCTAAGACAAGTATCATGTACATGTCAGATATTTCATGAGTATAATTCTTACATAATCTAGATTAATATCACTTTCATATTTGAAACATAAAAAACCAGTTCCTGCAATTTGACATAGCATTTTGACACTTCTTTTTTACATGTCATGCCAAGTGGGCATAATCACCCATGCATTAAAATTGTAGACTGTGTTCTAGCTACAGGACAACAAAAGTAGGTTAACTAGATTACCAGTATCACGTGTTTTATTGTTCTAGCATTAGCAATTCTCATATGTAAACTATGTCCAATCATTTGAACTGATATTCGATTGGTTACTTAACTTAATGTGCTATTGCATATACAAATACAAAGACGTACCATCCTTATGATAGGCCAATTTATTTTGGCACGTGATGTAATAAATTCAAACAGTCATATAGATGATCAGCACGCAAAAATATTTATCGTTGATTCGACCAAACGAATAAACTCTGTATGGAAAACGTATTACATTTACCTCGTATTTTTTATATCTAACTTCATAAGATTGACCAGAAATTAACTACCTTCGGCTGTGGTACTTCCAGTAAGGAAATTATCTGTCAGACACAATAAACTTAAGGCAATACAAAAAGAACCATCAAAGGCTGATAAACGGCCAACGCGAACAATACAATTGCCCCATAGTTTCTTTGAAGTCAAACTACAGAGAATCAGAAAAATAAGGCTAAATCTCATCACTAACGTTATTTGTAGTGGGAGGTTAAGACAATCAATTAAGTAGTTCTAGGGCAAATTAAATACAGTAAAGTAGTTGATGCCATTAGCCTTTTTTAAATCCACGACTTACCTTATGAACACTGAGACTAAGTTCTAATACTCAGTCATAGACTTATCAAATGCGCTCTGTTCTGGTTCGCATCAAAGATCAAAATTTACTGAGTGGACTAATTAGGCATTATGTGTGTATAATTTTATGCGGATTTTTGTGGACTAATTTTTTTACACTTGCGTTGTTGTACATTAGGAATGCGCGTTTCTTTGAAGAAGAGTGTGGTTCATAGAAAATTGATCTTCAAAGTTAAATGAATGGGCTTAAAAATATAGGCCACTCAATTTCTAATCAGCGTCATAACTGTTTCATGCATATTGAAATAACTATGGAGTGTAGTTTTCATTTGCACCAGTGAAACGTATTAAACTGGGATAAAACAATTTTCTGGTACTTTTTAGCTAATAGATTACTTTTGCCTTCATTAAATACAACTTTGCCCATATAATTGTTCAGTTAAGAAAAAAGATCTAAGATAATATATATATTTGTTATTGGTGTTGTTATTGTTAAGAGATAGGTATTCGATATGTATAAATTAACACGACAAGCTTCTTGATTAAACCACTCGTCTGAGAAAACGATACCCCACCCAAATAGTCCACCTGACTGTCGTGTCTTTATGACCCGCTAGTTATCATGTAATTTATTCGCTAATCAAAACACGACTTATCCGCTCTAGTACTGTACTAAACCAATGACGTTCGTCCGGTCTGACCAGCCTAGCTTCCTCATTCGTCCGTTGCTCGCATAGCCCGTCCAGTTGAGTCCAGAATGCCAATAACAGCTTTCACTATGAGAGCCATTTATTTCAGACATACTGGGTTTATTTATCAACCAAACAGACCGCAACGCACCATAAAATAGGAAATAACATTGATACACAATAAAACCGAAAAGTGGCTATGAACGTGGGAGACGGTAATCAAATAACTGAGTATAACTTAAGTACAGTAAATCGTATAACAATAATCTATAAATCAAAATGAAGCTTATAATAAGATGAATATAAATATACACAATCTAATTACTGAATAGTTATACCATAAGAATATATAGACAATATTAGTCCATTATTAGGTCTCAGATGTTACTCGTAATTTAATCTTCGCTAGCATATAACACTGACACATAAATCTTCTCCACCGTCTGAATAAACTAGGAATTCTCACAATTACAAAACATAAGTAAACTATGTGATTTCTATGGGTATAAGTTTAAACCAGATTTTCTTGCTTTGAATTCTTATCAATGA